TAATGGCATTCTAGATTAATTGACAAATGCCAGAGGCTCTTTCCTTGAAAAGGCCTTGAATAACATTGTAATTAAAAAATGAGACTAGGTGAGATGTCGAAGCTCAAAACGATTGGCTCGGGTATACTACCACTACTCATTGGCTGCAAAGGCGGAATGTTCCAGCATTGTCATAAATCATTCATGTTAAGCTGGATTTACAAGCATACATGGGTATATATGTGCAACTCAAATTGCTCGCAGTATAAAAGCTAATATTTGGCGGCAGCAGAATTACATCGTGCTATACTTCCCACGGCTACAATATCGAGGACTCGTCAATTCACTGATGTCCGCCCCAGACTTTGGCCCCAGACTGGCCAGATCTCTGACATTCACGAAACAGCCCAACTTGAGTTAGTAAACCGTGGCCTTCAGCAAATGCAACAAGAGGCTCCCATACTCTAATACCCACAAGACTTTGGTCTTCATCCAAAAGCTACAATATCAAGAATTGATCAGCTCACTAATTCTGGCTCCAGCACACTCGAATTCTGGATCATGAGTGCGCCACCGCTTGCAGGGGAAACTACAGGTGTTAAATAGACCAAGGTCATTCAAATACTCCACCCTGCGATAGACTCATCCTATAATTTAAGCACATAACGAACTCTACCAAACCCACCCCCACCAGTCATCTTGTATGGTTCAACCCTCGCTCCACAAACGACACCGAATAAACCACATTATGCGATGGAAATCACAGTTGACATGTCGGACATTGGGATACCTACGGAGGCGCCAGAGCTGTGTGCATGTTGGTTTATCCACCAGAGATAGAGGTGCATGCGCGTGGTGAGGATTGCAAGGATCGTGAACTCGAAGCTATACATGGGTGTACGTTTCGGGTATTGTTAGTAGGAATACGCAGCAGTATGTAGCGATGCATACTCATACAACATGGTGCGGTAAGAGGCCTGAGGCGCAGAACATCAACGGCTCGGTCAAAAAAGGCATCCAATAGATTCACGCACCTGGAGGAGCAGCGACATGAAAAGATTCGTTACCGAGAATACTTCAGGAAAGAGGTTGATCATGGATGAGTGCGAAAAACGGCGTCTACAAGGATTAACTTACGAAGACCGCATGCATAATAGAATATGTTATGGTTCACCAGAGCAACGTACAGACGGCTTGGGGATCTTCGCCAACTCTGCATGGCGCGTATGAGCGTGAGTATCATCAGTCCTGGGGAGAATATCTGTCAGTACGTGTTTTTACATATATATGCTCCTGGTTACCCACCCAATTGGAACACGAAAAAGAGAAGAAATGGCATAAAGTACCAGAAACTGGTCTCATAGCACCCTGTGATTCCCGGGATCGCGCTAGTTGGATCTGTGAAAATGAACAGAATGTTCCAGTAGTTGTGGAACGCCAGAGGGAAGATGAGTGCATACATGCTGCGGGGGCGGCAGTGGCGAAGACAATGCCGAAGGATGCTCCAAGAAAAGTCTGGCTGATGCATCTATCACTAGCTTGGGTGTGATGAGTGGATTAAGAACTCACGAAAAAAGTGGACAGCATGGCTGCGAGCAAGATCCTATTTTTGTTCCAGAGCACATATGTTCTGAGGATGAAAAAACCTGAATGAATCGAATCAGAACCACGCATATAATATGGGGAAACGAGAGATACATCCGGAGAAAATGGATAATACTGTGCAAAGACCTGTGAGGGGAAAGTAGTAGCCTTCAGCAAGGACGTCCATACATGAATGCACTGTGCACATACCTGAGCTAATATGAACCGACACCAAACATTCCTGGCAAAGTCAGTGAGTTGTCTGTTTCCATTGACTCTTGCCGCATCGCATACAATTGTGTTCTCATTCAGGGTAAAGCTCCCTAAAAACCAAGTGTTAATTCATTATTGTGACGATGTGTGCTGGAGCGCAACGTACTACATAGATCCGTGGCGAGCATGATAAAGGGGAGGTATCGTGTGGCAATATACAGGCCTTTCATCTTGGTCCAGTGTGATCGAAGCAAAAATGTCCACTTTGCACAGCATATTGTGGGTATCAAAACCGAGGTGTGAAATGGAACAAGGATGTTACCTCTTCATGAAGTGAACATGCATAATCATAGGTCTGGATAAGCGAGTTTGACAGCGGAGGTGAATATATCAGAATAAGCCTACCCAGAATGTAGCCATCGACGCTGAACTGTGTTAGGACAAAGAATATGAGGTTTAGACAGTACGCACTGTATATGTACTGATGGTACATGACTTGTTAATGATGATTCGCCCCATATCATCAGGAAGACTTACCGTAGTGACCTGCAGACTTCTCGCTGTTGCGATATCGTCAGTCGAATACTCCATCTAGAGGTCAGAAAATGTATTTCACACACGCATCATGCGCCTTCTTAGCTTTTATGAACGAGCTGTGAGCCCATCAATATGGCAGTGAAAATACTAGGGATCATGTTATTCGAGTTTGAACTCAGCTTGTTGTAGTGTTTCACTATCATGACTCATTCACAGGATGTACCGGCTGGTGGCTAGGGAACAACTTGATGAAAGATACAGTTGCACCTTTGATGCCTAAGGCACAATAGTCGTGCTCTATTCTGAGGCACATACATTGCTCAGTCTTTGGTCAAACTACATAACAAACGCAGAGCGCACCTGATAACTATATATAACTTATATAGGTTTGAGAGCTGAAACACAAAGATTGGTTCGGGAACTCGCCGTGTGCGCTCATTGTACTGGCTACCGAATTACGAAGCTCCTTGAGCTCAAAGTTTTATACATCATCGTCAGTGGAAACGCGAAGACCTTGGAGCGACCTACAACTACCTCAAGTACTAGTAGACGTAGTCGTTGTTTTTTTTCGGGGTCCCGTTGTTGTTACTACCGTAAAAGCTCGACCTCTTTGGATGAACGAATACATCGCATGGCGGCAGAAAGTACATTTGCAACGGGAATGCACAATTTGAACAGCATCGATCAACTTAATGGGCATCGGTGTATTCAGAGAAACAGTCGAAGTCGCTTGGCCCACACGTGACCGTTTGTTTGCCAACAGCTTTCAAACCAAACAACGCCTCGGCAAGAAACAGCTCAACTTAATAAACTGTGACCAGAATGGCCTTTCAGCAAATACAACAAGAGACTCCCATACTCAAATATCCAGAAGACTTTGGTCTTCATCCAAACGTCTCCCTAGAAAATGCAGCCAACATGCTATTCCGTGCCATCCAAACCTCTCAAAACCAACCCTACACATGGACTTTTATCGATAAGCCACAAGGTATGAATAGTACCAAAGACCTCAGTCTCTAACTAACGTTTGATTACTTCTATGACGCATGCAGAGGGTCAAATATACCTCTTGTTCATGCCAAATCCTGCTCAACCTCTGAACGACGGTATCCGATGGCAAGACCAAGAAAATCGATACACTATGCCTGTCCAACGTGGTACACGGGTGCGTATCAGCCCCTTTATGCAATCCATAAATTAGTTTAACCTTTCCCTAGGAACTCGAAGTCGCAGAAGTCAAATACGGCTTCATACCCAACTCCCAAGACACAGCAGCATGGCGTATGCGCCGACGCTACCGCCTTCACAAAGGCGGCCATCCCCAACTAGTGCTAGTCCACTACTCCCGCGTACCACCCATCCGTAAGTCACACCATCACCATACCATCATTTTTGCCTTCTCACCACCCATCGACGTTGTCCGATATGTCTGCAACTTCACCGCATCTACACCCACATCCGCGTTCACCCTTACATCTACATCCACGTATACATCTCCCGCACTCCAGAGATCGTCCCATCTCTCTTGAACAATCCCGTCAGGCACTACCCACTACGACAAATCACCGACCCTCCTATATATGTCATGGGCGATAGGGCGGGTCACAAAGTCTTCCCACACCCCGCAGGTCCGCATCAAGGCGGTATGCCCCAAGTTGGAATGAACCCGCAGGCGATGATAACGCAGCAGAACAGTAACATGGAGGCCCTGGAAAGGAGGAGGGAGCGTGAACGGACGAGAGATGGGAATGGGGGAGTAGGGGCGGGCGTGAGTATATCCTATCATCGGAGAAACATTTATCTGATATGTTGGTTATCGGTTCAGCAACGGCCTGGTCCTCCACGGCTAGATGATGACGAATCCGCAGGTTCGATTACTTTATTCGTTCAGATGAACGTTATTCGCATTGATCATTTGTCCAGATGAATCTGAGATGCTATCGACACGGACGCTAGCAATTGCGAGATATCGGAGAAACCACGAGTTAATGGAAGAAGTCTTCAGGCGTGCAGCTTTTGGTAGGAACGCCACTTACTATCTCCGTCAGATCATTCTCAGGTACATCACTCATTAGACAGCAAAAAACCTTTGTCATCAAAAAGAATATATGAGGGGTTTGACAAAGCAGAACTAGAGGCTAAAATAGTGCGTCCAGGTATCACTGATTTTGGGTTCAGCTAAATTCCTCTTCAGACCAAATTGCAAGACGATGTAAGGGCACTTCAGGCCAAGGCTGCTGAGCGTCAGGCTCAGAAAGTAGCAGCGGACGACGTGATAGTTACAGCTAGCGGTCATGCCCCGATGGAACTCACTACTTAGCCACTATGCTCTTTATCTGTGTTATTGCTAATCGTATCGCGCATTTGTTCCACACAGACAGGTATTGTGAATGAGGTTCGAGATTTCCTGAGGATAAGACAAGTAGTACAATCTGGTAAGTAATGCGTAATATAAATTTTGCCATCAAGAGTATCTCAAACACCAATTGCTCTAAAATCAATGACAACGGGAAAAAAACAGACAAGGAAATCGTATGTACTAGAAGTCCTCAGGATCGAATACAAAATACAGCTATGAGCCCAAACCCAGACAAAAAGCAAGATAAATAGCAATTGTTTCAGCAACTCACAAATCTGATGGTCCCCAGAAGATAGATTGCAATTTTTGGGGAAGAGTAAAGATACAACTAGCGAGTGCGGCCATAGGCGTGACGGGTGTCATGCCCTACGCTCCGGCTTCGGGTACCGCCTTTGGGCGTGATTGGGATGGGAGTGGTGCTGGAGTCTCTAAGAAATCCGCCCGCTCCGTGAACTTCGGCTGCGCGATAGGAAGAAGGATCTTCCTTGATACGAAGCCGCGATCTCCGTAGCCAAGCACCTGACGCCGGAGGTGTGCTCTCGGCCCTTTTGTGCTCTTGCGGTGGCAGTACGTCCTGGATGGCTTTCAAACGCTCGATCGCAGTGGTCATACCACTACGGCGGGCAGTAGATCCTGCTACAGCGTCGATGCCTAGAGTAGACGTCCAGTGAGAAGTATCGCCCAACACGTCTACATCAGCGTCCAGATCTCCAGATTCTGGAGCATATTCTGATTGACGGGAAGACGTCGCTAATGATGGTGTACACCGAGGCGGGGGTAAAAATCCCGCCTTCTTCGGTCTCCGGCCACGCTCAGGTGATGGCCCTGGCGAGGCAAGAAGAGTAGGGCCACCGATGTCAAGAGGCGGCACAGAGAGAGACGTCGAGGCGCTCACCACTGAATGACTGAGTTCATTGTATGTGGGAGACATTGGATAACGAACGACTGGTGGGCGGGAGATACTGCGACTTGTACATCGTGTTGAGAGTGAACTTGCAGTTGAGACAGAGGCACGGGAGAGGGAACGGTTGGACAGCCTTGGGGGTGCTTCTTCGGTGTGAGGTGGGTTCGGCTTGTTATCACGCCGTGCGCAAGGGCGCGAGCGCGACTGGGATAATGAGGGAGATCGGCGGCTGGGATAATCTACTAACTCAAATTTATCCTTGTCTGTTACAGGAGATGTGTCGTCATCGTCATCGTCGTCAAGCCCAACACCCCAAGCCATCTCATCCACTGTCGCAATCGTCCACCGGGTGCGGACATCACGCTCCAAGCAGCCTTTGAGAACATGCTCAGCCCCACGACTAATACCAGAAGGCATATCATAGACGCCTGTAAAAAAGTGCATTAGCAAGCCGGAGATCACGATATTATATTCTCACCGTGCAGAATTTTCATCTGGAGTCGTGGCTCGAACGAGTCGAAAAATGGAAGACGGCCGGTCAAAAGTGCATAAAGCAGAACACCCAAGGCCCATATGTCCTGAGCTGGATTAGCACCTTTGAACCGTGAAGGTTTGGGTTGAAGAAGCTCAGGAGATGCATATGGCAAAGAGCCTTGCTGGAAAACATGTGATGGATGGACAGGCGGAGGGTTTTCGCCGATAGGAGTTGATATACGATGACGCCTAGGACGATGGTGTCGTAAAATTGAGAGGTGTGAAGACGTGTTGGATTTTACAGGTCTGTTAGAAGTGGAACGGTGACGATGAGTGCCAGAATGATTATCAGAGTGATTGTCTGCATCGGATAGGGGTTCATCACCGTCAACTTCGCCGATTTTGCGAGTCATGCCGAAATCGCAAATTCTACATATACCCATCTCATCTACAAGAACGTTCTCAAGTTTGATATCCCTGTGTACATAGCCTGCGACTTCGTGCAGGTAGCGTACGCCTCGTACAATTTGTCGAAACATCATGCCGGCGTCATCGTGAGGGAGAGCGGGACGGCCGTCCCTTAAAAGTATATCATATAGAGATCCCGCGGGACAAAGAAGAGAGAAGAAGAAGTCGGCGTAGGGAGTGTGTTCGGAAAAGAAGAGGGGCAAGGTGTGCTCGTGACATAGAGAAGCCCATATTTGGGCCTCGTGATTGAGTCGCCTTCTAGCTAAAGAAGGATCTGTCTGTTTCTCCAAATCGGTGCGACGGACAATTTTGACAGCGACAACACCTCCGGAAGGGGATGAGGCACGTCTAATCACAGAAAAACCCCCATAACCTATGATTGGTCCAAGGACATAGCCACGAATGATTTCACCTTCTGCATCCGGTGATTGTGGGATTGCGGAGGGATTAAACGCGGATAAGAACATCATTGCTGGTGACATGGAGACACCACCGCTTTCTGGGAGAGGTGCGTGCTCATTGTTGCTTGTAATAAGTTGCCGTGAGATGTCCTGGTCAAGATCCGAGCCGGAAGCTGTCTGGGATGCTGTTATCTGGTATTCATCTGGTAATTTCCGGGATGGTGGCAAACCCCAAGCTAGAGGTACACGCTCATGCTGCGATGTAACTTTGGAGGAGCGTGAAAGCGACGCCGTAGTTGTTGCAGGAGATAGAGATTTGATGAGACCTGAGATCATGGAAAAGTGTTGTAGAAATGAACGATGATCTGAGCTTAACAGCAATGAAAAACAAGGTCTAATGGCACAAAGAAAATCGATGAATATGACGGTAGAAGGATATGTTGCGCGTATTGTGGGGCCTGTGAGGGGAAACGGCGACAAGGGAAGAATTAAGAGGCACGAGAATTTAAATAAACGACTTCTTGGAGTAATCGCCAATTTACGGGCGTGTGACTCCTTTCCCATATTTATTTGCATCAGTCACGTTCCGGTTCCGATCTTGAAATTGGGCGGCTATTCTGCTACGGCTACTTAACGCTCCTTGCTTCGAACTCATTTTCTTCCATCCAATGCAGCTATTATCTCTAGGCCCAGGCTTATCGAGTCTCACTTATCTCTGTGGGCCTCCTCGCCAGTGGCTCAGTTGAGTTGGCAAACCAATCTGTTTTACACATTTAGGGTCTCTCACTGGATTTCAAAATCAATCAAGTCCTTTATTATGGATCACACTTTCCAAGTCAGCGTACAAGGCTTCACCCCCAACGTTAAACAATGACTCCGATGATCACGTATACTTCAATTTGCTGCTGTCATCGTATTTAGTCCATGACGCCGCTCTCAGCCTGCCACGCTATTCACCAGTAGTGGCAATGCGGATGATCATCAACATGACTTTTGGGGACATCCGAAGCAGTTTCTCTCATATGACAATCTCATTATTCGGGAGAGAAATCCACTTGTCAGACCAGCGCGGACTTGCTCGCATCGGCGATCTCTAGCAACAAACGTTGCCTCCCGTGGCACTATAAACTCATTCGATTGTCCGCCTCTGACGGCTCGCCTCAAACCACCGCACGATAACGGACCATCCGAATGATGCCTCATCGATGAACCGCACGATAAACAACCATACAGTTGGCACACATGTACTACGTTTTGGCCCGCTCACCGTGAGTGTATCAATACCGAACTAAGTTGTTTCATCGACTTCATTTCGTCTATATTTGTAATTCGATATCCCCGGTCCCTCACGCAATCTGAAATTCTGGTGTGGCCGCAGTATCGCACAACCAGGACAGGAAACCTTCCATACTTCTACAAATAGGAGAACGTGCATGCATTTTCGATATCGCTGCCAGTAATCCATGTACTACCACCGAGCTGGGCTCAACACAAAGATTGGTGAGTTTAGACATGTTCCGTGGCCAGCTGGACTGGCCTTCGGGTGAAATTCGGCTAGTTCGAGCATGGAAGGATGTATATTTAATTAATATTTTCAGTAATATTGGATGTTAGATCCGTCGGCCGAGCTTCGTTTGGCAACTTCTCTTCGCAAAGAACGCCCCGAGCGAACTGTTTTGAGCAAACAGTGCCGGGAAGTTCTCCCGAAAGTAGAGCTGCTAAGCGGGATCTGCAGGATATGCGCCTCGAGAAATATATGCAGCCCAGGATATAAAGCAACCAGGACAGGCAACTGTCCAGACCTCCACTCCATCAAATATTGATTTTACTGCCAACGATGCACGTACCGCCACCGTAGCCGTACGATAACGAGAGAAAGGTGAGTTCTAGACTAACTTCAGATTCAACTAGCCCTCCGGTAAATTCGACAGCCCGAGGAGAGCCTTGAAAAAGGATCGCCGGCGGCCGCAGTAAGCGGAGTTGGCGAGGTCTAGTGATCCACACCGATCGAAACGCTGTCGTCCGGACTAGCGCACAGCCCGTTCAGGCAACAATTCTAGTCCCTACCCCAAATTCAAAAACGTTTATCAACCTTCGATATCAGATATCTTTGCGAGTGAGGGATCCGTGTACTGCCACTGAGCCTATGATAAGGTCCTGAGTTTAGACTCGCTCAAGGTCTGGCCAGCTAGATGGGTTGGCTTGTTGTTCGTCGTGGATGTACCTACCATCAAAGCGGCAAATATAATTTCTTTGATTCCCATAATGCCAGTTCACCACGTATCGAACTTTCAAATTAGACCCGACGATGACCTGCCATCTGGCGTACGGTGTCTTAGTCTTTGAGCGGGGGGAAATGTTTGACGTGTGCAGAATGTTATAGAATTTTGATATGGCCACCACGTCTGTCCGGCGCAACGGAGCCTGTGAAATGTCGAGGAGGGTTTCTCTGCGTTGACATGCGCCGGCCGGAATTGGGTCGGTGATTTTCATATGCACCGAGCGAGAATGTTTATACTCGCTGGTTAACAGAAAGGAGAGCTGCTAAACATAGTGCCACAGCGGGGGACCCCTTCCTGCGTGAAGCCCGGAGCAAGACGGAGCATCATTAATTCATTAATGGGGACAGCAACACGGGGACAAGGAGGGAAAGGCAACGGGGAGCCTCAACTAGTTTTGGCAAAGGCAACCGCAGCAGGAAGTTGTGGAGCAATTTAAATGTGGAGCTCATTTTATGTCACAAGTCATACAAAGTTGTGGCGCCCATGTTGTCCAGCATGGCACATGTTCATGCGCACACCATACTCTTCCTGTGACGTGTAAGTGTCTTCATTATCCAAGCCGGCGGATGTAATACTAAACAAAGGACTAGAACGCATATCAAACGAGCGTCTGCTGCAGTCGATCACAAGGTATCCATATTGCATCGACAAAAGGATCCATGACGATGCAGGTAGGTATGTGTCCAAAGGTCCAATGCAAAAAAGCGTGTGTTATAGGTATAAAAAATACGACGGTGGCGCGCAGGTATAGTGATCATGTCCCATTCTACAATAGTAGAGAAGCCAGTCCAAGACCTGAAATCACCGTAAGCAGGCCTGTCATGCCCGCTGCCTCCCATCTGCGCTCCCCAGCATTGGCGTTGACGACTGCTGCATTTTGGACGGTAGCACTGGTGGTTGCGCTGACATTACGGAGGGCCTGAGTTGGGAGCATGTTGGGTGAAGTGCTGATGAGATATTGAGGTGGCAAAGGTGTGCCATCATACTGGTACAGCTGAAGAGTATACCCCTTGACCGGATCTTGATATATGTTCCAGAGAACGTAAAGCTCAACGTAGTTATAGATCTCTATGAAGTTGGAGACGGCGGCACAAGGATCTTGTATTTGTTGGTAGCCGTCGCCGAATGGCGTCATGACGATGGAGCCATTAGAGGCGAGTACGTATGTACCGTGACACCAGTTCATAACGCCTGTGATGCAGGTTGGTACGGTGCCTGTGAGGAGTGCTTTAGCGGCATGAAATATGATACAGCACAAAAAGCAAACCATTGCTGGTCATACGATACCGCGCGATCTCGTAGTACCCATCGTCCGTGCTATGATTCGATCCAAGTCAGACATTGAGGCTTGGAACATGATAGATACTCACAAAGAATATGACATCCCTGTTGTGCTTGGGTATGTAAACGACTCTTGAGCTGGCGTAGCAAAGCCCTTGACACCACAGCAACTTGAGCCGAAAAAGTAGACTATAATCAAAATGTACGACTCACGGATCCAGTAACGACATTCTGGCTGCCAGAGCTCCAGGTGCCAGTGATGGCGGTGACATTATGGGCTGCATCGTAAACGGTCTGGCCATGGGCAGAGGTTGCGAGCAGCAAAAGTAAGGAAGTGAATATCATCATCAAGGATGTCTATAAGATTCAGATATTTTATGCCAGCGTTTGATATTTTTTGGGGGTATGAAGGGCAGAGGAAAAAGACTACGGGACAACCACGAGGGAGAGCGAACGTTGAGAACGACGATAGCTGTCGAGGTGGGAGGCCCAGCAGTCTGTTTGTTCTTGTTTGGTATCAGTCTTTGTTTCGCATCTTGATGCTATTTAAATAATTTTATCGCCGACACTGGGAGAGGGTTCCATCATCCATGTGAATAACTCACGTAAACGCGGGTTTCTCTGAGACTGTGTTTGGTAACATCAGTTCACCACAAGTTCACCGTAAGTCTTCATCTCCGTCTCTAGTCCAACATGAAACCAACAAGCTTCAGCATGTCATTGGGCGCCAATTTTCCGACGATGATCGCCACCATGCTGCAGTCACTGTTTGACGTCCCACCTAATTGCTTGCAGTGTCCAACCGGGCAGATCAGACCATCAGGCTGTCGTGCCATGTCGTCATGCAACATTCTTACACGTACTAATTGCCGAATCAGCTGCATAGGTTTTATGATCAGTACAGCAACTCGGTGTTTCCGTTTACATTCTGTACATACCCAAAGAATGTATACACCTTCAATGTCGATGTCAAGACAACAACAAAATGCATTCAGCGAGGGAAAGTTATCTAGAATACAGGCGATTTAATCTTTCTTCAAATCCCTCCTCATAACAAACAAGCGTTCGCCATCTTCCGCTACGGTTAACTCTTGCAGACCCCGGATGCTTTCCATACCCTGTAGAGTACGTCCTTTGGCGAGTGCGATGAAGATTTCAAGGCCGTCACCGACCTGCATGATGTTAGATGAAATTACACGACCAGAATATGGGGCTCACTTCAATGTGGCGCTCAGTCGCGCTCGTGAATGAGTCAATTACTATCGACAAGACGGTCTCTAGCGGTAGATGCGCCGGATGCGAGGTCCCCGGCGCAGCTTGTTGATTCTTGAAGTAAATCTAGGAGTTTCAACGTCAGACAAAATGCACGGGCGACGTCAGGATGGGGAAGATAGTGAATACTCACCTGGTTGTCCAGGAATGGCTGGACTAATGACTGAGCAGCACCTGCAGCACGGCAGGCCTCTCGTTCATACGAGCCCACGGGGTCGAACGAATACACGGCGCCAGTGCCTGAGAAACTTCTTGAATAAATTAAGAAGGTGGAGCATGAAGATGAACAGACCATCCTCCTCGACGCCACCCAAAATGTTATATACATAGTAGGGAAAGAAGCGGCGTCCATAAAGCATCGTTTGAATTAATCTTGCTATTGCCCGTAGGGGCATATCTTTCGCATGAGCGTGACGGTACCACTACGTAGCCCCTTAAGCATATACAGCGAAATCACATCAAGGAACGACGAACCTCCAGACGTTGCTTCACTTTCTTCAC